CTGATTGCACATAACAAGTTGATAACAAGGAGAAAAGAATGATAATATACTTTTAAGAATTATTTAGTGCGAGATGATAACTCATTTTGTTAAATGAGTTACCAAGAGATGAACACCAAACCTCTCCCTTGATTCACATTGAAAAAGGGTTAATTTTAACATAGACCACTCGAATATCAATGATTTGCACTTACAACCCCTAACAACCGCCCCTGTACTTTCATTGTTGCATTTAGACCTACTTGTTCAAATTGTTTTTGACTCTTCTTACCCTTGGAGAAAGTGTTGGCACATACTTTCCTTGGGTAAAGTTAGTGAGACCATCTGCGTGCAAAAGAGTTAACCAGGTGTTTGTGTGCAACAATGAAACTACACAGGCGGTAAGTCAAAACAGTTATACTACTACAGGGGGGTCCATGCACAATTAATACTATTGAAAAATGAAATGGCAGCTCATATCTGGTATTCACTCTAACACATTCACACCCACCCAACAAAGACCTACGTGCATATATTTTGTGTGTCAGCGAGCAAGCTCACAAACATGTATTGAGATCAAGATGTTCAAGAACTCTTCATTATGTGCTTACCCGTCAGCTCTAGCTCACAAACATGTATTGAGATCAAGATGTTCAAGAACTCTTCATTATGTGCTTACCCGTCAGCTCTGCCGCATTGGCCAGGGCGAGAAGAGATGGCAGCCAACAAACGGCCACTGCCAAATTGCTCCTCGATGTGAGAGTCAAGGGTGCGCTCCTTCTGACGCTTCTCAAGCTTCCTGACTACGTGGTTACTCTTTTTAGCATCTGCTGCTGGTGCTGCACCTTCGCCCTCCTATAAATAGAAAAAATCACAAGAATACATAAAAGTTAGGAAAGGAAAAGTGTGAAGATAACATGATGATGTGAAAACATTTAAAAAAGACAACCACCCAAAAGAACATCACGTCAAGGGTAAGGAAGCCTTTTCAAGTTGTGTTTTTGCAACAGTATAATGAAAAGCTTCAAAAGAATAACAGGTTCAGTTCTACTCACAAACATCTATAAAGGTTTCACCCAACAGCAGTGCCAATTTCGGCCAAAATGGCAGCACATCACCAAATCACCCTACTAATGTCACTCATGCTAGACAGGGTGCCTACGAAAAAAGGCTAAAGCTAGAGTTGAAATCTTCAATCTAACTTACAATTATAGGAACAACTAATAAAATTTTATAATTGTGCGATTCAGGGAAGCATTACACTAATATACCTTTCCAGTGTAGAATTTTGTTGATACAGAAACAATTAAAATAAGACAAACGTCCATAATGATGGATTAGTAGTTCAAATTCCAAGCTGCTTATGATCACTTATAATAACTTCATAGCATATATTATCACATATTATCTCATATAACCAAAAGCATCTCGTATAACCAAAAGCGGATTCATTATCCAAAGCTATGCTTACACTCTAGTTTTTTCTTAGAATACATACAGTTATGTGATTCCTGCTTTGAAGATTTACAGTACGGGTAAGCTAGTGTATCAATTTCTCCTGAGAGAAATTTTCTATTAGGTGTCAATTTTCATGTTCATCTTGTATTAAGAAAGTAAATCTTTTAGAAAAACCAAAGAATAAAAAAACATAATTGAATAATGGACAATAATCAGAATTGAGAGCCAAGTATCCAATATCATCCAAATAGAAACAAATCTATTCCCCGGCGAAAGAAAAAAGACATGCCGGTATGAATAAATTTGAGTTGAAATTTTTTACTTTTTTCCCCATGTATATGAGCATAACATATAAAAATTGGTATGCAAGCCAGAGCAGTGAGCTATCTATAGAATTAATAATAAGAGTACTGCAAAATTCTCCAATATTTAATGACAAGTAGTATTTGGTGTTTAATCTTTAAAAAAGATAAATTTCACACGGTACATACATCCCTCATCTCTATTATTAACAATGTTAACATAGGTAGATTTAACAAAGGAAGTCATTCAGAGATAATATAAATCAACAGAAGATTTACCAAAGAAAGCTAGCTCAAGAAGTATGATAAAGCTAAACCATGCAGATGTCCAGAAGAATACATGCTTATTTTAGAGTAAATAGATAGGTGAGAAAATGAACTTCCACTTCATATTAAAATTAATTTTTCACAGTGATGTTCAATAATATATGGCCAAAGTTGCATCTATACATAATATATTCAGAAACACAGTAAACTCCTAGAAAAGGAGGATCTAGAATCGAAATATGGAGACTAGTTCTTCATTATATATTAACAAATATAGAATGTGGGTCACTAAAGCAATGAAAGACGAAAAGGTAACAAAGCTCATGAAAAACTAAGGATGCTAACAGAGTAGAAAGGCATGATTACCTCAGTTGCTGCTTCCTTCTTGCCAGCAGGAGCCTTCTTCTTCCTACCAATATCAACACCATAGTGCTGGAGATACCATTGCTTGAATGGAGCCGCGTCCACTTGCACAATGGCACTCTTAACAAGAGTTTGCGTCCTAACAAGCTCGTTGTTGGAGGCATTGTAGACCACGTCAAGAATACGGGTTTTACGTGTCACAGCCTCGCTTCCCCATGAATAGTTGCCCGTATCAAGTCGGAGTGCCCTCCATTTGACATTTCCTCCTCTGACACGAATTCTCCTCACAGTTTTATTGCTGGAAAGCTTGGTGTTGGCTGGTTGGCGGCCAAGCTCATACCTTAAAAAGGTCAAAAGGGAAACAAGTCATCGTAATTGGCAAAAAAACATATCGAAAAATAAAACCAAAATGCAACTACTGTATCTGAAAAACAACAAGTGCAGCATGAAACTGTGGTAATGCCACTAAAAATAGTTTCCAGATTATTGCAAATTAGTAACTTGGTCATACAATATTAAGGTATATCTGCTGATAGTTAATAGTTCAGAATAGCTAATAAAGATATTAAGTATTTGTTGAAACTTAATACTTCAGGACAACTCAGAAAAGTTTGCTTAGAAATATACAATACACACAAACATAGGGTAGCTTGCAAATCATCACAAGCGGGCGAAGACATTTAAAATTTAGATCCAAAAGTGTATAACCAACCTATCAAAAGAACAATAATTGCAACAACTGTAAAAGTACCACTATGTTTAAGCTATGTACTGGAAATTAGTTATACAAAAACAATATTTTAGGAGTTTCTTTTTCAGTTAATAGTGAAATATACCAGACAAAGGCAGCAATATTTGTTTTAGCTTCAAAATTTTGTGGTAGCTGACAAATTTATACAGCTTCCACTAAACCAAAAAAATCATTGCGTAATGAAGATATCCACTACTATCAGCTTAGAAATCGATATTTTCACATCTTATTATAAACTATGGAGCCAGGAAAGATAACGTTGTGAAACACAAGACAACCACCATCTATAAAATAAATTGTCGAACTTGAAATTTGGGGTTAATTGCGAACAGACACCCCCTGTAGTATCGCTGAATTGCAAAGAGGACCCCCTCTACTTCTCCTTGTAGAGGAGAGACCCCCTTGTAGTATTTGCCCAAGTGCTGAACTTTTTTGGCTAATTTTAAAATTAAAAAAAAAACAATTGGGCGTCTATCCTCACCAATAGAACTATAGGAGAACTATCCACCTCAAAACATTTTTAACGATTTTAAGAGTACAAAAAATCTCACTCAAAGGGTCTATTTGCAACAAGGAGACCTACAGGGGGTCTATTCGCAACAAATAAAACTACAGGGGTATCTTAAAAATCCAATTTTGGAAGCAAACATGTTTTCTGGTTACCCAATAAAGATGAAAGGGAAATGAGCAAGAGATAATACTATAAACCATTCACTCCAATAGAAATACCCAAATATAGATAGAAAACTGTGACAGTAGTAATCAAATAAAGATTCGAAGCCTAGGGTTTCTTACTTTCGCTTCTTCCTCCAAGCCTTCTTCTTTCCACCAGTGGCCCTCCTCTTGTGCATCGAATCACGAGAGATACCTGCGATGACGAGAGCCAAAACAACGCCATTTATTAGAGATTATAAGGCTAACGATCGAATCGAGAAATCTAGGGTTTCCGACAAGCATTTTACCCATCTTGGCTGCTCGTCGGCGATGGCGCTCTCTCTCTCTCTCTTCCTCCCCACTCTCTCGCGCGCACGAAAGCCCTAACCCTAACCCTAAGCGCAGTGCCAGCGATTTTATATGTGGCCTTTGGGCCGGATGTGGTTGTATGCAATGGGCCAAATTTTGGGTCTACTCGCATCTTCTTGAGATTGCTTTTGGTATTGGGCCCTTTACTTGCAGTGAGGCTTGTTGTTAAGTGTATTAAGGGAATGTTTGGTTGGTTTCGTAAAAATTAGGAAAATGAAAAGGGTACATGGAAATCAATAAAATATTATTTTCATCCATTTTCATCCCTAAAACTCACCATAATATCTAATAAAATATTATTTTCATCCCACAAGTCATCTCATATCATCTTCTAAAAATAAAAGGAACAAAATTTTGATCTTTTTGTTTGTTTGGTCCATTTTTCCATGAACCATTTCTAAAAGATTATGCATCTTTATTCGTTATAATTTTCTACCACGCCTCGCCCCCCCGCCCCCCCCCCGGCCAAACCCAAAAAAAGGAAAAGGGGAAAACCTGTTTTTCTATTCATTCGGATGTAGAGGAGGAGGCAGTTTGCCTCACTACGATAAGGACGCCCTAATGCAATTACCAACTTCTACATCATTGAATCGTTGCAGAGAAGACAGTTTGTTTATGAGTTCTCTCTAACACAGGACCTTTCTATGGATGGTGGCAGTTTGTGTACTTCAACAAAGTGCGATATCGGTTTTGGAGGAGAGTTACCCAGTTATGCTGCTGCTGGTCAATGGAATCCAGCAAATGCTTTTACCCTTTTCCAATCAGTATCTGCTCGTAAAAATGTGACTATTTTGAGGTTTTTGTATTGGGTTATAGTTTCACTCAGAAGGTCTACCCGTGACCATGCTAAAAAAAGAAGAAGAAGAAGAGCCTATAGGGTGTCTATCTGCAGCAATAGAACTAGTATTGCCCTCAATTAACCCTTTTTAGTAGTTTGTCAAGGATCTCGAGAATAGACTGATCTTGATACTGTTCTTTTAATTGTGTGGTCTTTTATGGCCCTAGCATTTACGAACTTTTTTCGGGGGTCATTCAAAGTAGAGGAATCAAATGTAGAAATTTGACTGTGAGCCGTAAGTATTGGTTTGATTCCAAAATTTTCTGCGAACCTCTTTAAGTAATCAACTTTTGGATTCAATTATTTTTTAACCAGCTGAAAGTTTGATTTCAGACTTCACTACGAATCTCCTTTGTGAATATCATAAAAGCCCCCTTAGCAGAAAAAAACCCATTAACTTTCAAAATATCAAAAAAACACCCCTTGAATTTTGATGGGTGAAGTTCAATATTTTCAAGGACAAATTTTTAAAAAAGCATCTTTTTTAGATTTATTAAGTAAAACCGACCATTTGGACATTTAATGAGCAAAACCGACCCTTTTCAAAAGAAAAGGATCGGTTTTGTTATTAGTCAAGTGCACGGGACTAGTAGTCTCCTGCACTTCACTTTAATTGCCCCCCGTGCGCCCCGTGACAGACCCAAAAAAAATTTGCTGTGACAGACCCCCAAAAAAATCGCCGTCTTTAAAATTCTTTCACGAGCTACGTCCGAATTTGAATCAAATTCTTCTCCTCTAATGGCGGAAGAGATCAAATTCTTCTCCTATTTCACAGTTCTCAAAATAACACAAAAATTTATTCATGAATTGCAAACTAACACCAACAAGCATAATAATATGTATCAGTGAAAAATACAAACAGAGGGGAAAAAAGAAAAGAAAGGGATGGAAGTGGATGTGGATGCGAAGCCGGAGGAAGTGGATGCGACCGCATCTCCAGTATATACAGTTTTCTCATCGTTAGAGGCCCTTTTGGATCCTTCTCCTAGAGCCCCGCATCTCCAGGATCCGACCCGATAACGAACCCGGCATCTCGACGCGTGTACAGAAGGGGTGGAAGTGGATGCGAAGCCGGAGGATGAGATCCGAGGATAAGAAGAAGACGGAGAGGGCGAGGATTTAGTCGTGGAGCTACGGCGATCTCCCTTCACGGGTGGCGATCACAGTGAGGAGGCGCTCCCGGAGGGACGAGGCGCAGACACCGAAGCCGAGCGATTTTAAAGTCAACGAATTTTTTTGGGGTCTGTCGCAGCAATTTTTTTTTGGGCCTGTCACGAGCGAAGGGGGTTCAGTCACGGTAATTAAAGTGACGAGCAGGGCAATTAAAGTGAAGTGCACGGGGCTACTAGTCCCGTGCACTTAGCTAATAACTATTTGCTGCAAAACCGATCATTTTCTTTTGAAAATGGTCGGTTTTGCTCATTAACTGTTCAAATGGTCGGTTTTGCTTAATAAATTTAAAAAAGAGGCTTTTTTTAAAATTTGTCCTATTTTCAACCTTCACGTCTAGGGGCTGTTTGTTTCATTTCTAAAGTATTGGAAACATTTCCTCCTGGTAAAAAAAATAATAATTTGCAGGCTATTGTTAGTTTTCACCCGTTTCCACCACAAAACCCGGGGTGGTTTCTAACAAAATGAGACAAACACAATGAAAGATTTCTGTAATGCACAACCTTTTCTTAGGGAGTGTTGTCCGGTTGTTTTCCAATGTTTTCCACCCAAAAAACTTGAAACAAACAGCTCCTTAAGGGGGGGTTATTCATTGGTATAATTTTGGAGATAATGGGATAATTTTTGAAACAATAATGTTTGGTGTTATTCATTGGGGTATTTAGAACTGGAACCAACTTTGTGGTGTTATTGGTTTGTTGGGATAAATGGGGGACAAATACCCCACTTACCCCCAAATTACCCCAACTATATAAGCTCTTCTCAGCCCCACCCTCCGAATTTACCCCATTTTTTTCGCTGGAACAAGAGGGGAACAGAATATACCCTATTTTTTTCCGTCGTCGTCGTTCCCGAGCAGGGATTTCCCCACCGCCATCTCCTCCGCCTCCTCCGTCGTTCCCGAGCAGGAGAGTCGAAGACGAGTGAGGGCCGAGGGTCTGAGCGATCCGGAGCGGCTGTGCCTTCAGAGAGGTTTATCCATTGATTTTAGAGTTTGCGGTAGTTTTCTCTAATAAAAATGGTTAACAATAGTTTCCTACAAAGTTCTAAACAGATTTAGAATAAATTTTATCAGAATGTCCTCATAGTATCAGATCAGGATCTTGTGAGCTATTCACTGGGAATGTAGGAGGCACTATGGAACTTTCAGTTATCGCCTTTATGGTTCAAAACACTTCATTTCTATATGAGATTTCTTGAAAAGATCTGTATTCTGATAGGTCGTGTTAGTTTTGTAAAATTTACTATATCCATGAATAATTTGCATGTCGTCACAAGTGCTGATTTTTAGATATGACAATACAACTAAAGTTACCATGTGAAACATGGTTAGGAGTCCTGAAATGTCAATATTTTTAATTATAGATGTTTATTATAGATGTTTTTAGATATGTATATCATGATAAACGGAATTCATTCCTATATGAGATGTTCTTTATTGTGTATCCAATCCAGAAGAGACTAACATTGTTTACAAGGAAACACCAATTAAAAACAAGTGAAAGAAAAGCTTGAACACGATAACTTCTTCATCTCCAAAATATTTGAACTCTAGAAGCTTAATAACAACAAACATAGGCGTGCAAATTTCAATTATTGAAATACTAGTTCACCTTTATTATTGCAACATATGGCTTCTCATCCTCAGACTCAGGATATAATAACACCGGATCTTCCTGCATCAACATGGGGCTCTGTTTGTTGATTTGTTAATTACTGAACCATTGCCATTTATATGATTACTTTTTGCGGTTGACTGTGCCTGTTGAGGGCCTGGAGCATATGAATTTTTGAGGATGCTACTAGTTATGTTGATTGGTGGTGAAGTTCCCTTCTGTTGATTTTACATGATACCTGTCATATTGTCTGGCATCAAACTATCAAGACTGCCAAAGAAATCAAAGTACTATGCCAACTTAAAACTCATTAAATCATGCATCAATCCCCAGTAATTGTAAGATAGATATGTATTCCCATGCCAAGTTTGTGTATAACTCGTGTCAGATTCTTTTATTAATGACTATTATCTTGGTATGTTTTTGTTATTATACAGGTGAGGTTGTTCTATCTAATTTGCTTTGGATAGTTGTTTGCATTAGTAATGAAGTGTTAGAGGGGGTCACGTGGCTTGATTACTGGTTGTGTGATGGAATTCTTATGCATGCTTTGGATAGTGATGGAATTACTTGTAGTGATGGAATTCTTACTATTTTTTGGTGAATATATTGTATTAAAAATCTTACTATTATTTGATCTCGTTTCCTAATACATGATGGAAGATAATCAGAATGTCTCTATTTTGCTATTTGACGAGGATACTGCTGATAATCTCCTCATTCGCATTATCAACATGGCTGCACAAATAGTAGGTCTAGTCACGACTATGCTGATTAAAGTGACGGGGAAGGCCGAAATAGTATCAATCACATAGTATTATATAAAGAGTTGTGAATGATTTTCAGTTCGTTTGCACACAATGAGGACATAAGAATCATGATTTCATCCTTTGCAATGCAATCCTTTCCTGAGTTTCTGAAGTGTTGATGCTTGAAAAACATGAAGGTTAAAACCATTTATCTTGTATTGTTGTGATAATTTGATGTTGAAACTATGTACTTGTGAATTTTCTTGTATTGTTGTGATAATTTGACGTTGAAACTATGTACTTGTGATAATTTGATGTTGAAACTATGCTCTGGTGATTTGTATGACAGTTGAAAAATTTTGTGTGTTATTAAAGATTTGGGGTTGTATGTTTGAACAATTATTGCAATTAAAAAATTTGTTAATATAGCATAAATATTAAAATAAACATCAAAATATTCAAAGATTAATTAATATTAATATTATTATATTATTTTTATTATTTTATATTAAAATAATCTTAAAAATAATATTATTGTATATTATAACTATTATTTATTTAATCATTTGATGTTATGTCAAGTTAAACTTGAATTTAGTTGAGCTATAAATATAATATTATAAAAAGATGTTATACTAAATTGTCCCACTTAAATTGTCTCATTACCCCCATTTTACCCCAATTTATCCCACTCAATTATCCCATTGGGTAAAATTACCCCATTGGAACAATTTACCCCAAATTACACCAAATTACACCAACGAATAACCCCCCCTAAGAGAACATTGTGACTATGAGTATTCTCTTCATAATTCATAATTACAACTTACAATGTGGGAATTTCTCTCGAACCTTCCATTTATCATACTCCCTTTAAAAGTACGAGTTCAAACAAATCTTTTTATGGTCATTATTACCCTTGACTATTTTGAATATTTCATTTAAATTTTAATCCATCATAATCATATTCTAATCCAATGTGAACTACTTACAGGTCAATAATTTAAAAAATAATATTAATAAAATACATAAGATAGCTCCATGGTATCAGTCTGTTAAGGTAAATAACTAATATGCTATAATATATAAAGTATTAGGAAAAAATGAATTTTTTTTGAAAATTACACGAAACACCCTTAAAAGTTTAAAATTACATAAAACATCTAGACGTTTCAAAACTTAAAACAACAAACATAAAATTTAGAAATCAATAACAGCCACTGAAGAATTTAAAATTTGCAATTAACACCGTCAATATTTTTAAAACTATAAAAACACCCTCTAAATTATAAATAATAAAAAAGCACTCTGAAATTCTGAAATTTAAAAACTTGCAAATAACAAAGATGAATTCAAGGGATTACCATCAGGCATTGAAAATTTAAAATTTGTAAAAAATAACCTCAAAATTATAAAATTTACAAAAAACTCCTTCAAAATAACGAAAAACTCTAAATTTTAAAAACTCATAGCCAATACACATCAAATCTCAAAATTTATCAGCAGACCGCTAAAAAATTAATTTTTGTTTCAAACAATCCAATTTTTTAATAATTGTAAAAAATACCCACAAAATTCAGACATGCAAGAAATGTCATGACATTTAAAAACTTATCACCACCACATGAAACATAGAATTACAAGTATACAACTTAAAATTTAAATATTTTTAAAGAAAGAAACACTCTCAAAGTTTCAAATTTTGTAAAACACGCTCTTAAAATTCAAAATCACAAAAAAACCACTAAAATTTCAAAACTTAGCAAAAAAAGAATAGTTGTTTGATATTTTTTCATTAAGATATATAAATTTAACTTCTAATTTAAGATTTTACTATCCTTTTTCGATATCTAAAAGTAGTATAATTTTATCAAAAAAGATAAAGGTGGAGAAGGATTGATAACGTCTTAATAAAAAAAACAGAAGGAATGAAATGCACTACTTTCTGAATATTTTATAGAATATATTTTTTTGAGTAAATTAGGAATCTTTAGAAGAGATTTTCATAAACTTTTTTAGTACTTTTATATGCTTATGTGGATATTTTTATTATATATAAGTATACTAGAGTTAGCACTAATCTTTAATTTATGATTTTTTTAATGTCGATCGACAATTAAGAACAAACTCCATATTATATTTTGTGTCATTGCAGCCCACTTTTAACCAATCATATTGTCTTATTAGTTTTAGTTATTCATTTTCTTTTTAGAACGCTATTTTTTAAAGTATTTTTTACTTTTGCAACACTATACTTTCACATGTCAATCTTGGTTTCATGTTGGTCTCAATGACATGATAATTCAAATTATTTTTAGATTACATTTATTTCCTGTCAATTCAATTATCAACATGAAAATTTAAATTGGGTGTAGCCATTTAATAAACACAATGCTAAAGTTTAGAGTTACAAGTAAGCAAAAATTATCAAAGTGGAACCGAGGAACAAATTTTAGTAAGGAAACAAACCAAATATACTATTTAATCATGGTATTTTACCACGTGCATTGCACGTGCATAAAACCTAGTAGTATAATATGAGACACTTTCTCTCGAACTTTCTCATTTAAGAACAGATGGTCATTGAGACTATTCTCTCGAACCTTGACATTTAAAGAAAACTCTGTGACCACGAGCATTCTCTCAAACATTGCCAGTTATAACTTATAATATGAGGATTTCTCTCGAATCTTCAATTTATAACATACCATGTGACACTTTTCTCTCGAACCTTCGGATTCAAAGGAAACACGGTCATCAAGACCGTTCTCTCGAACCTTCGCATTTATTATTTCCATATCCAAGATGCCAAGAATATCCTCACGCCACTCTATAAAAGAAGATGAATAGTCAAGCATGTTATACCACGCCATTAAACAATGTTATATCCTATCAAATCCAGATGGTCGCAATTACCATTCTATTTCACTTCCCCCCTCCATCACTCCAAACGAACTAATCTTAGCGCTTCAGATATGCCCCTTAGCATCCATACCTAAAATCCGACCTCGCCACCGTCATGGTGGCCGACGAAAAATGACGAGTGTCGGTCCAGAGGAATCAGACCTCTCAGCATCCATCAAGAATATCTCTTGGAGGCATCCGTCAACATGAGATTTCAAGGGGGTCTTGCTCGGCCCCACTCGATCGTTCTGGTGCGTGAGATCCAAAAAATCTTCGTGAACAAAAAGCATGATGATGAAAGAGACGATGCAAAAGATATGATGAATCAGTAGAAAGTAGTCCACTTTAGAGGAATATCTACATGTTGCGAGCATGGTTAAAAAAAAACTTGTATGTATCATGTATATGTTCTTCTGTTGTTCTCGCAAAATGTACTGGCCCGTTATGAACCCCAAAAGTCAATCTGAATCTAGTTTTCCTCTATCTCGGTGTTGTTGTCATTACCACCAGCGTTTATAAGGTGGCTTCTATTCCTTCTTACTGAACGTAGAAGTTGTTGTTAATATTTGTCATAATTTAATTTTCAGCTTAGTATTTCCCCCACTTTTTTTGGGCATCAAGAGCTGTTAAATCAAACAGAAAGCTCTACCTTTTGACAATTTCATTGTATTTTGCGAAGGGCCAAGAACTTGAATTTGAATGTTGCCGAATTAAGGTTTTTTTTTTCCTTTCTTTTTTTGATCAATTTTGTTGAAATAAGCTGTCATTTGGGAGATTTGCGATGGCTTTTTGAGAAATGTTTTTTTTTTATCTTTCCAATCTTTGAAAATGTATGTACGTTCAATTAAATAAATGAATGAGGGCGAGTGTAAAATTCAGCTTGCATTCATCATAGTTAGGTTTCGAGGCTTGATTTATAGAGTTTGTTTACGTTAAATTTTAGCTGGCGTTCAAATCTGATATGAGTTACAAGTGTGAGATTATTCGCGCGAAGAAATTAATCGGGAGTTAAATTAATCTGATATGAGTTAAATTTTAGCTGCGTTCAAATTTTAGTAGTTTGTAAAGGATCTCGAGGATAGACTGATCTTGATGCGATTCTTTTAATTGTGTGGTCTTTTGCGCGGCCCTATCATTTACGTGCTTTTTTCGGATTCAATCATTTATTAACCCGCTAAAAGTTTGATTTCAGATTTCACTACGAATCTCCTTGTGTGAATATAATAAAAGCCCCCTAACTTGGATGATTAGCGAAAGAAACCCATTAACTATCAAAATATCAAAAAACACCCCTCAATTTTGATGGGTAAAAGTTGCAATATTTTCAACCTTCGCGTCTAGGGGCTGTTTGGTTTCATTTCTAAATATTGGAAACATTTCCTCCTGGTAAAAAAAAATAATTTGCAGGCTATTGTCTGTTTTCACCCGTTTCCACCACAAAACCGCGGGTGGTTTCTAACAAAATGAGACAACACATAAAAGATTTGCTGTAATGCACAACCTTTATCTTAGGGAGTGTTATCCGGTTGTTTTCCAATGTTTTCCACCAAAAATACTTGAAACCAAACAGCTCCTTAAGAGAACATTGGCGACTATGAGTATTCTCTTCATAATTCACAGTTATAACTCACAACTTGAGAATTTCATTTGAACCTTCCATTTATTATATACTACGATCTTCAGATCTGATCTCGTCGTCGCCGCCGCCGCCTTCAGATCCCGTACTTATTATTACAACACGGGCTTTTATTCCAATCAAGTAGCGTATTATTGATTCTATTTGTTTCTTATTCCTAGCTTCTAGTATTATTCAAGAGTAAAACCACCCGCAAACCTGTTGCCTGATCCGGGAAATATAAAAAAAATTGGAGTGAATGAAGAAAGAAAACCATCCCAATTTTACTGTAATTACCAGGCTTGAGCTCAGAATTAAGGTTATATCTAATTTTATCCGGAGAGAGCGTTGGGTGCTTATTAGATCATGATATCTTTCTGTTCCGTAACTTCAGATGATCGTCTCTGTTGCAGTTTTTCTCTGCAAGTACTATCCCTTCAATTAATTTTAGGTTTTTTTTTGTTATGTTAGACCCCATGATGCTTGTTAATTGTATACGCAACCACCAAATCTTCATATTTCTACATTAGACCCCAATTCTATTCAGTTGTCTTGATTAAACCCTCAAATTTATTAAGCCGTTTTAACCGAGACCCCTATTTTGGGAAAACATGAAGATTGAGGTGTCTAATTTAGAAATATGAATATTTGAGGGTCAAATGTAGAATTAACAAAGATTTGGAGGTGTATTATGACAAAACCCTTGATCCTATAGGAAGACCCCTTCTTTTCTTCAAAACTATCTTTGGAGGCAAGTATATCATTTTACTCAATTGAAGAGTCTTACTTAGGTGGCTGATTGCTATGGCATCACGACGGAATATCCGCTACGCTCCTCTATCTTCATCAGAGAGAGACGATGATATACACCAACATGACCCCCGGTTCACCTACAATCCGAGGGCCCTTGACAGGGTTCCATGGAAGTCAATTGGTCTCGCACTTTTTCTTCTGTTCTTGGGATCATTTCTGCTGTTTCTGTCATTCTTCGTCTTCACAGGCCACTTGGGTGGTGAGAGATCACAAGCGTATGGCCTTCTTGTGCTTGGCATACTTGCCTTCCTTCCTGGTAAGCGAGCATCACTTTCTTTTGGTCTACTTTTAGAGTTAAGTTGATTACAGTGCACAAGTTTTTCTGGTCAAGGTTTAAGAAAGGGTTTATTGCGGATAGACCTCCTGTTCTATTGCGCAATTGCGGACAGGCGTCCAGTAGTTCTATTGTTGCGGATAGACCCCCTGTACTGACACTCAATTTCGTGTATACCCCCTTAGTGAATTTTTTCTTGGCTCTTTTACCCTATCAGGAGGTCTATTTGTCAAACAAATTTCTCTTTCTGAATGTAAAGAGTCAAAAAGTTTACTTGGGGGGTTCAATGGAACTACAGCGGGTCTATCAACAATTAGGCAATGGTAGACGGGGTATATCCGCGATTAACCCTTCAAGAAGATATAAACTGCTGAATAAGATATTGTAATGCATCAGTGGGATAAGTCTGCAATTACCCTTTTCGACTAAATATTCAGGAGTCATCTGAACTAATTAAAAGAATGTAGAAACAGCTATACAATGTTTAGGATTGCTCGTTTTTTTTTCTGTTTGATAACCTCATTTCTTTTTTTTTTAATTTTAAATTTTAAATTTTAACCCTGAAGAGCTCGGCTGATAGTTAATGTAGCTTACGCATTAACTTACACCTGTATATGCTCAAAAAGTAGTTGGTTGGCATTCAACTGTAAGGAAATTTCCATTTATAATTTGTTGATTTTATTACAAAAGTTGGTTGAAATTTATTTATCTTCGACATCGGTACCTTGGTTATACGTTCTATTTATGGGAAAACTCATAATTCTGGAAGTGGTAACATAAGAATATTGAAGTTAAGATATTAGTTTTTAACTTGCAAAACCATGTTTTCTTGTATATTTAATTACTCTTGATCGCGATACATCGTTGCCCTATCATCCATTTGATTTGCTTGACGTATTAGTAATGAAACTCCGGGTTACATGATGTCCTTTGTTAAAGCATTGCTATGTCTGTGTGTATAATTTTACATTACCTCATTTATTCGTCTTTCCAAGTGGTTTAGGTAAATTGGTCCTATAGCAATTAAAGTTATTGGTAATATTAGATTAAATAATCATCATGATTGATCAAATTTGGGAAAAAGGCTGTGGTCCTGTTGTTAAGGATTGATATTTAAAGAAAAGGATTAGATGTTTCTTTTTCTCGGTGATATATGCAGAAGCCACTCGATCTCCTGTTAATTTTTCTAATAACGGTTTTTGTAAGTTTATTGTTACCAACATTGCCGTTTTCAGACACAAAACTTGTATTCAGACAGATAAAACCTGCCTTTGATGTTGCGGGCAATATCGGTTACCTCTTTATGATATGTCATAATGCTTTTGGTTTGAAATCTCATGCTATACATAATTTCTTAGTTTTATGCAAGACGAGGTCATGTTTGGTATCAATAATATCCTTTGTTGCTGATAAATGTCACAGGGTTTTATGAGACGAGGCTTGCATATTACTCCTGGAGAGGTGCACCAGGTTATAGGTTTGCTTCTATTCCTTCTTACTGAACCGTAGAAGTTGTGTAATATTTGTCATAATTTAATTTTCAGCTTAGTATTTCCCCCCACTTTTTTTGGGCATCAAGAGCTGTTAAATCAAACAGAAAGCTCTACCTTTTGACATTTCATTGTATTTTGCGAAGGGCCAAGAACTTGAATTTGAATGTTGCCGAATTAAGGTTTTTTTTTTCCTTTCTTTTTTTGATCAATTTTGTTGAAATAGCTGTCATTTGGGAGATTTGCGATGGCTTTTTGAGAAATGTTTTTTTTTTATCTTTCCAATCTTTGAAAATGTATGTACGTTCAATTAAATAAATGAATGAGGGCGAGTGTAAAATTCAGCTTGCATTCATCATAGTTAGGTTCGAGCTTGATTTATAGAGTTTGTTTACGTTAAATTTTAGCTGCGTTCAAATCTGATATGAGTTACAAGTGTGAGATTTATCGCGAAGAAATTAATCGGGAGTTAAATTAATCTGATATGAGTTAAATTTTAGCTGCGTTCAAATTTTAGTAGTTTGTAAAGGATCTCGAGGATAGACTGATCTTGATGCTGTTCTTTTAATTGTGTGGTCTTTTGCGGCCCTATCATTTACGTGCTTTTTTCGGATTCAATCATTTATTAACCCGCTAAAAGTTTGATTTCAGATTTCACTACGAATCTCCTTGGTGAATATAATAAAAGCCCCCTAACTTTGGATGATTAGCGGAAAGAAACCCCATTAACTATCAAAATATCAAAAAAACACCCCCTCAATTTTGATGGGTAAAGTTCAATATTTTCAACCTTCGCGTCTAGGGGCTGTTTGTTTCATTTCTAAAATATTGGAAACATTTCCTCCTGGTAAAAAAAAATAATTTGCAGGCTATTGTCTGTTTTCACCCGTTTCCACCACAAAACCCGGGGTGGTTTCTAACAAAATGAGACAAACACAATAAAAGATTTCTGTAATGCACAACCTTTTCTTAGGGAGTGTTATCCGGTTGTTTTCCAATGTTTTCCACCAAAATACTTGAAACAAACAGCTCCTTAAGAGAACATTGCGACTATGAGTATTCTCTTCATAATTCACAGTTATAACTCACAACTTGAGAATTTCTCTTGAACCTTCCATTTATAGTATACTACGAGACACTTTCTCTCGAACTTTCGCATTTAAGAACAGATGGTCGCTGAGACTATTCTCTCGAACATTGACATTTAAAGAAAACTCCGTGACCATGAGTATCCTCTCAAACATTGCCAGTTATAACTTACAATATGAGGATTTCTCTCGAACCTTTCATTTATAACTTACCATGTGACACTTTCTCTTGAACCTTCGGATTCAAAGGAAACACGGTCATCAAGACCGTTCTCTCGAACCTTCGTATTTATTATTTCCATCCATATCCAAGATGCCAAGAATATCCTCACTCCACTCTATAAAAGAAGATGAATAGTCAAGTACGTTATACCACGCCATTAAACAATGTTATATCCTATCAAATCCAGATGGTCGCAATTACCATTCTATTTCACTTTCCCCCTCCATCACTCCAAACAAACTGATCTTAGCCTTTCAGATATGTCCCTTAGCACCCATACCTAAAATCCGATCTCGCCACAGCCATGGTGGCCGACGAGAAATGCAGAGCGTCGGTCCAGAGGAATCAGACCTCTCGGCATCCATCGAGAATATCTCTTGGAGGCATCCGTCAACATGAGATTTGAAGGAGTCCTTGCTCGGACTCACTCGATTGTTCTGGTGCGTGAGATCCAAAAATCTTCGTGAACAAAAATGCATGGCGATGAAAAAGACGATGCAAAAGATATGATGAATTAGTAATAGGGCATGAAAGGAAAGTTGTTCAATTTAGAGGAAAACTTACATATTGCGAGCGTGGTATAAAAAAACTTGTATGTATCATGTATATATTCTTCTGTTGTTCTCGTAAAATGTATTGGCACGTTATGAACCCAAAAGTTAATCTGAATTCAGTTTTCCTCTATCTCGGTGTTGTTGTCATTATTACTTGGGTTTTTTTGGCGTAATTATATGACAATCATCTTTCGTTATGTATGTGCCTCGTTTTTTTAGTGTTTAGGCCTTGTTAAGATACAACTCACGTGTGTAGCACTTAAATTATTTAAGCTTATTTCTCATCTTTTAATGAAAATTTAACTGGGAGGCGGTTGATTGCGACAAAAACCTACTTTGAAGATGGTTTACATATAACTTGAGAATATAGGGTGATTTTGATAATTACCCTATTGTTTAAGGTGGTTTCTAGGAAAAACCCTTATTATTATTTTGCTTAAGTGCATTAAGTACGGTTATTATAATATTTGCCTTTTCGTTTGATGGGAAAATGTGGGGAGCTATTTGCAGTTTAAACTAAAATTGTGAATTTGCTGCACCACAAAAGAAATGATAATTGTTAAAACTGAGGGGTTTATTTGCGATTCAAATCTTTTTTGCAGGCAAACCCCTTTTAGGTTTGACTACAGCTTAAATCTTTCATATTACTCCCTCACTCAAACAAGTATTCTACTCTCACGTCTCGAATTCTCCTCCTCTCTCTCTCCTAAAAATTTCCCCAAGAAAAGAAAACCCTAATTTTCTAATTCCCCCGCGGTTTGATCCTCCCTGCATCGGCGCACGAGATTTGATCCTCGACCCTCAACAGGTTCCTCTCTCAGATCTGTTGTTTGATTTTCTAATCTTAGATTTGTTTCTCATGGGATGGTTCATGAATTTTAATTGATATTATCATTATTTTGATCCAATTTTTTATCACTTTGACGGTGTCATGAATCTCCACAGTAATTTTTGTTAATATCCGCAGATCCTCGAAAATTTGAAAAAAAAAGAAAGAAAAAAACCATGATTCAAATGATACAGTCATAGGTTGTCCACTAAGTTACTGATAGTTCAAGAAATGAAAAGAAATACAAGCGTTAGTCCCCTCGAGATTCCTTCCAAAACATTCTAATATCATGAATTACCTATTTTAGAAGTAGCACATGAACTTCACGTGCCAGACATTGTAATTTAATTATTATACAATTTAGTAAATTATTTGCTAACAATATAATAATCTAATTATGAAATTAAAATGAACTAATGTATTATAATTATGCTATATGTAATATTATGATATTTAAAAGAGAATAAATTATTTAATATATTATAAATATTTTAATAAATTATGAATAAGTTATAGCAATTATCCAAACTATAATAATTAATCATACAGTTCTTTATCCACAGTTTTATCATACAATTTATTCGTTTAAATAAATTGTAATTGTTTAGAATTTATATTGCTATTCAAGTCATTTCATTATCTTGTAGCCAACAAAACGAATTTGAAAAAGATAAAAACAAAACATGTATAATTTCGTGCAAAGCACGTGCACTATACTAGTTTTACCAAATAGAGAGATGCACAAAAATGTTTTCTTCAAGGAGGCCATTTAAATCAAGGGGGTTTTCAATATTAGTCCCTTAAATCTGACCTAATTAAATATTAGTTCCTCAAATCTTTATATTTTGACATTAGTCCCTCAAATTGTATTAAGTTGTTGATATAACTCCCTCTGTTAGTTTTTATGTTAATAACAACAAACTATAGTTGGGTTTACTCTACCCACATGCTATTTTACCAAATTACCTTGCATTTTTATTCAGCCCATCAAACAACGCTCTCTCCCAATCTCGTTCTCTCTCTAGTTATCACGCTTGAGAATGGGGTTTTTTGGCTCTAATTTGTGATCTTGTACAAGGACGCCAAAAATCGCCTCAAAATCAATTCAAATCCACTATGTATCAGGGTAAACTACTAGAAGAACGACTCAACTCTCGTCTCTCAATCTCTCAACCTAACATACATAATCAACTCTCATATTCTCTCCAAAACTCACTCCTTACAATCTTTTGAATGGACAAAGACTGCGAAATCCTATCCTCTTGTATAATATTCTTGAATCAGGTTACGTCCCTTGCTAACCCTAAATTATAAGAATATTGGCGTTCTCATCTCATTGGTTTTTCCCTCCAATAATAGAAGAATATATATAGGGAAACTAAAACCATACCTCTAGCCAAACTTTCTAATTAGAATATGATACAAACTCCTAATCATGATGAGAGCCAATTTTCTAATCATGATAGATCTCTAGCCCTATCTAATTTTCATGAAGTTATACAAAGAATCAAAGACACAATCCTAACACTTATATGAACACAATGAAGCCTATTAGAAATAACAGATTTGATCTACTTCTCACTTCCACTACTTCCTATCAACCTTAGGGGGTGTTTGGCAATTCGAAAGTGAGTTTAAAATATGTAATACTTTTTTTTGCGAATAACTTTTACATCCATGTTAGCACATAAATGAAATACAGTTTTTGTTGGAAAAATTAAATTATTATTGAAAGTGCAATGTGAAGATGATGTCGCAAAATAAGAATAATTAGTAAATATAATTAAAACCATTACTTAAAATTAGCTACCATTTTGTTACTTTCATGTGACTTCATGACTTTTTTAGGGGAAGTCAAATTTGCATTAAATCCTATGTGGCAACTTTCTTGTATCTCACTTTCATAACCACTTGCATGCAAACAAACATGTAAATTGTCAAACGAAAATGACTTTCTCACTTACATCTTTTACTTACATGCAAACTAACACCCTCCTAATGAGAAAAACAAAAAATAAATCTTCAAACCTTTACCAATAACGTAAGTATTTTGATTTTCTGATATTAGAATCTCATGGGACGGAAGCCCTTGGATCTGGACAGAAATTATTGAACTTTTTAATATATGTTATACATTTGAATGTTTTGTTGCTTAGCTTCAATACCTAAAATTCTTTTATATGGACATCTAACACAATAAACTTTAAACACTAGAATATCACTGCTAATGTGCATGTGGATTTATGTGTACATATCAGCATGTGTTCAACTTGCCCTGGGATACCGATTTTGTCATCTTTAGTTTGTCAGATGATGGTTAGATATAGTATCCACGTCATTGAAGTGAGTTTTGATAAACGGGTCATTCGGGTTATATGGGTCGGGTCGGGTAACCCGTTTAATAAACAGGTCAGATCGCATTGACTTATTTATTAAACGGGTCGGATCGGGTCGGGTCACACTTGGGTCGGGCTAACTAGGCCTTTACTACAAGGTAAGGT